CTCTCTCTCTCTCTCTCTCTCTCTCTCTCTCTCTCTCTCTCTTCATTCCCTTGCTTTTGTCCGCAGTCTCGCAGTGTTTTCGAGGTATTTATTAGGGATATAGCGACAAGTTTATTCGTTTGCATCATGTCTCGTTTATTTATAACGGTGCATATACCTTTGTGTATTGTAAAGCTTCTGCACGTATGAATAGGAAAATATTTTTGCTCGAGAATCGTAGGGTATTTAATGCATCCAAAATTAAAGAAAACGAAATTATTGACGATGAAATTATCGATAGATAATAAAAATTGTAATAAAAAATTGTAATAAAAAACGCGATAATCGAATTTTCAAATAATAAAATATTTTTTTTTTTTTTTTTTTTGGTGAAAAATTGACAAAAATTTAATACTGTTCGTTATTATTTGCATTTTTATCAATATACAAAACGATAAAAGAAGATTTACTAATCAAATTATCCATTCTTTCTTTTTATATTATATTATAAAATTCTACTAATTTTTTGAAATCGTGATTCGTATCATTTTAAAACAAGGATTCATTTTACCATGGATATAGGATCAGCATTAACCAACAGATAATTTTCGATATGAGGGATAAAATTCGTTGAAGAATTTTAGCAGCGAGCTTTTTATCAAGAAAACTTTTTCTCCTTCTGATGGACATTTTCTAAATTACTTCAAGCTGTTTCGGTAATTAGGACAGAAATATCGTGCAGCTGTTCCTCCGTGGCTTATTTCACGCGACAAAGTTGCACGTTCACAGGCCTAATTGCAATCGGCTCGGGTTTACTCGCGTCATATTCGCGTGTCCACGATATTTCAACGGTTATCCAGCCTCTAATTACCAGATTCTTGGTATTTCCTCTTCTGATTATGGTTCTTTCTTTGTTCTTCGGCGAATATCATTCTCTGAGAAACGAGAAAACGTGCTCGAGAAAAATAGCTAACAATTAAATAAATATTTCTTCTATGTTATATCTACATTTATTAATAAGAGTATTCAATGAGTATTCTTATTATTGCGACGATTTTATTTGCAAATCGATTTTCTTTTCTCAGATATATTTTTTATATTTTTTGAAAATATTTTCAAAGTTCAAGTTTGTTTTTTATCATCAAAAATTGGTTAATAATTTATCAAATAGCGAATGGCAATTTTAAGGTAAATTTTTTCAAATCTAGTTTCTTTCTCGGTCAATAATTTCAACGAATGATCGAAATTTAAGTTGTACATTGTTTTGTATTTTTTGCCTCGACATTCTACATTCTAATTAAAAATTTTTTTTCTAAAAATTTTCCAAATCCATTTCCTCGTTTACCACTAATCAAAATCAGTATGATATGATATAATTTAAACAAGTGGCGATTTTAGAACGAACGATTCCATTTCTCAAATATTCGAATTTTTTTAAATAAATTTTCTCTTGTCGACGATGTGGCAACTTCCAGCATAAATATTGTCGATTTTTTTACCACGGATTAGAATTTCCGTTAATAATACCTCATCTTGACGTCACCGTCTAAGTCACTTTGTCAGTGATCCGATCAGTTGTTAGATAACGCTCTGGCTATTGCTTCGCCGATACGCTTCTTCCACGTTTGTTCCTCGAGCACACTCGATTTTTCTTTAGAACTTCCGTTCCTTTGTACTCGAAAGTTTAGACACGCCCTATACGTTGCAAGTATAACGGAAAAATGGAATGGCGAATAAGGAGGAAAGCTGATTCGTCTCTCACAAAGGTTTAATAATTGATTGGAACCGTGAAAAGTATCTTAACGCGTGATACATATCGGTATTAGATTCTTGTCAATGTTGTAACATTGGGTTAAAAGTGGATTGGAAATTTATCTTGTTATGCAACGTTTTCTGGATGATAGGATGTAATATAAAGGTATTTTTATCTGTTTTATGCTTTCAAAGATCTGCTTTTTTTTAGTTTTAATTTTTTCTAACCAAGTATTGATTATAAGATTCATGGAACTAGAGTTTTAGAGAATTTAGAAAATTTGAATCGAATTTAATTGAACTGTAACAACAATCCAAACGTTTTAATATTTCATGTTATTAGCTTTATGAGCGAGTTGGTTGATTATAAGTGGGATCGATTAAAAAGACGTTATTAACAAATTGGCTTAGTTAGGTAATAAAATGTAATCAAGGTAAATTGGTTTAACAACGAATCAATACGAAGAATCGAAGATCGAATTATTGAGATTGGAATGGAGTTGCATTTAAATTAAAGTAAAATTCTCGCGAGAAATACTTTCGAGAGTTTTTTCTCAAATTTCTACCCTTGTACATTTGAGAACAACTCTCTTGAGTTCTTCTCTCAAATTTATATCTTTATACATTTGAGAGCAACTCTCGAGAATTCTTCTCGTGTCCTTGAAACGCGAATATATTTGAGAGCAATCCCTCTTGAGTCTTTCTTCTCTCTCGAACACCTGTCTTTAGAATAGTTTAAAATTGTTGCGTTTGCCAGTTGAGAAACAAAAACAAAAACAAAAACGTATCTTTCCGTCTCTTCTCCGTTAAATTTTATTACGTCTAACCGCAATTTCGCGAGCGAAATCCGGTTAACTCAACTCCTTTCCCTCCTTTCTATATCGACAATACGCCCAAGTATATCAACCTCTCCTTTTCACCTGTAACCAACCATCGCTCGTTAAACTTTCGCGAGCGTACCTTCTCTCTCTACCCCCTCTCCCCACACATATGTATCTCGCGATCAAAATTAGATCACCAACCGTTTTCCTCTCCTCCTTCTCCTCCTCCTCCTCTTCCTCCTTCTCTTCGCCATTATTTCGATTTATTGTTTCGTCGAAAATTCTTGTGTTCGACCACGATACAATTCTTACCACTTCTGTGTGCGCTTCTTCGACCAATATTAAGTTGTAGTATTAAGGATTTATCAAGGGCTCTCCGTTACGATTTTTGTGGAATCCAATGTTTTGATTCTTGACTTGCAATAGCATATCTTGAATCCTTTCTTTTTTTGCTAAAGTCGAATTCTTAGATTCGTAGAATTTTAAATTTTATTTTAAATTTCTGCGATTTTTATCCCAGAAAATCAAGAATTTAATTTTGAGAAAAATATAGTGGAAATTATATAATAAATTAATAATAGTTTTAAATGAAAATTGGTATTTCGTTTCGAAGTTATTAGAATGGTATTTACAAGTGAAAAATTTAAAATTTGAGTTGAGTTCCTGTATTGGTTCCTGTAACAGGATTTCATTGCATATGTCTCTGTGCAATGTTTTTTTACTGTAAATAAAAAATGGCGTTCGGATGGGCAGCATTTTTCAATACCGTTGGACATACGTAGATCGTGCAATATTTATAAAAATGCGCTTGGTATAACAAATATTTGGATGTATGGTTGTGTAAAACCAATTTTTTTTTTTCTCGTGTAATGCGAATGTGATTCCCTAAAAATATTGTCTGCTTTCTTCTTTTTTTTTGAAAATTAAATTATACAATGGAATTGGAAATTTTTTCGATTAGTTCCATGATTAGTTATCCCTCTCTTTTTCAATCTTCTTCGTTCCATGAAAATATTCGTTCACCATTACAACTTAAGTTGCATTAATTATCATTCGCTTTTAAAAATATAAAATTATCGATCGTTTTTATTATATTATTCTCTTCGATCGTGTCATCTGGATCGATCTCTCGTATTACGATTTTACGTATCACGTTACATCATAGAAAACATTATATATATTATGCCACACACGTATACATTACAATCAACAATTGCTTTTATTATTTTTAAAATTAAATTCTTAAATTTTGTATAAAAGTTTATATTTACAAATACATATGCATATTTTGGACTTTATCTATTCACGATCCATATATACGATCGACGGATGATCTGATATATAAATCTTTTTTTTTTTTTTTTATCTCAACAACATACAACATTTCTAATATTCTACTCATTTTTCACTTATCTACTATCTTGAAATTGTTTCCTCCTCTTGTTTCGAACAATTCTCCGTATTCCACGAGTACTTGCCGATGTTTCTGATTACTCACTCGTCGCGTCTCTTGATTCCAATTCCACGGACGCCCGTGGAATCCAGCGAGTTTCATCGCTTTCATGGCTTTAACACAGTTTTCGAAATCTTTCGAGGCGTGCTCCCCTTCCTCCCTACGTGGAAGAACTAGCTCTTCGTTTTATCTCGAGTTTTCTTCTTTGTTTTTCTTCTTTTCTTTTGCGACGATACGTGCAAAAAAAAATATATATATATATATAAAAAAGGCATTCTACATTATTGATTTTAATTCAACCTGAATTTCTTTCTTTCTCAAGTTTTTAATGTCATAAGTAAATGCCTTTGATTTGTGTGATAAATTGTATTCTCGAAAATAAATTGTATTCTCTAATGTCACTGATTTTTCATTTTTATCTTTGGAAGGATATTATAAGTCAACGCGATATTTTCGTTAGGAATAATCAGGGATCAAAAAGTTTATTTATGGAACGAAATCTTGCACCTTTTTGGAAAGCATATAAATTTATCTGGTTTAAATACGAACGTATATTTCATTTTTAATTTATCCATGTTTAAAAATCATTATTTTGTGCTATGTATAGTTAGTTCTAGCTTTCTCTACATTTAACTTAAAAATTTAATAAATTACAAATTAACATTTTTACATGTTAATTTTTGTTTTATCCTTTATATAACATCGAAATAAATAACACCGTATGTATATAATATGTATATAAAAAAAAATATGCAATAGAGCGAAAGATTAAAAAGAACGAATACGTGACCACGGCGAAATCGAAATAAATTTTAGAATGCTATGTGTCCAGAGAGCGTGAAAAATTCTCTCCGCGATAATTAATATCATCACACCGCAAAGATCCCTTCGTGATATCCTTCCGGCATCGTGACTGCCAACATTTTTTTTTTTTTTCCCCCTCCAATCATCGTAATTTTTTTTCTCTTTTTCTGTTGCAGACAAGATTCCCCTTCTCCAGCTGATCGCAAAAAAAAATCGTGAAATCGTTTCCGCGAGTGTCGTGTCGCGTGTCGCGAGCGATCTCGTCACCGTATCCCCTTCAATCGTCTTATTCTCTTTTCACTCCTCCTCCTTCGTGTCGTTCGGATGCGTCGTAACGTTTACGATGGTACACGGAAATTAGATGAAGATTCGCGATTCCCGCCGGTTTTCACGGGAACATTAACCTTCGATTTCGTGTTTTTCCCGTCGTACCGTGTCTACGACGTTTGAAAATTCTTTTCGGTCGTGAATCTCGGGTTGAACGGGTAGAAAAATTACGCGTAACGATATTTTGGAAGATAGTATCTCGTCCGTTTGGAAGTCGACGAGATGATCGTTCAAGCGGATTCGTTGTGCGTGTTACTAGTGATGTTGATCGGTGCTCTGTTGGTAAAGTCGGAACCTGGGCCACGGCCGCGATCAACGCCGATCTTCACCAATCAGTTCGCAGTCCACGTGCCAGATGGACCGGACGCTGCCGCGGAGATCGCTGCCAAATATGGATTCGACAATTATGGACAGGTGAGTTTTGATTATTTTCCTTTCATGTACTTATAGTTGGTTGTACTTATAGTTCATCTTCTGTAACGTTATAGAATTTGAAAGTTAACGTTATTATTGCGAATAAACGTGGAATGATATAGAAATTGTTTGTATTTCGTACCGCATTACGGATTCGGGTCGAGTCGGGAAGATTCGGTATTAAACGGATCCGACTTTGGCCGAAGTTTTCCGATCTAATCCGAAATTTGAATTCTCGTGTCAAGCAGCAATCTTGTAAAACTAAGCTTATCATTGTATATAGAAATTAGATTCTAGATATCAAAATGATGAAAAAAAGTGATATAAAAAAAAAATATCAATAGAGATTTATTTATCGAGTTAAGTAAACAATTTAATTTTATTTAGGCAAATAATAATCGATAATATATTTAGCCAAATGATTATAAGTAACGTATTTCAATTTTACTCGGTGCAATGCAAGTTGCATATCTTTCATTATTTTTTGAATCTTATTTTATTTAATTATCATATATTGTTATTCTATTTAAAGTATCGTTATATTGGAATTGAAAAAATGATTTTAGTAATCATTATTAGTTCGTTGATCTCAGATTATAAACATAATAAACAGCAATATAATTTTTATCTATCATGAGCAAATAAAATTTAAATTATATAGAGGAATGAAAGGCATACAACTTATTTCTCGATTTAATACTATATTTTTGTTAAATCGTTTCGTAAAATTCATTTACGAAAGTAATAATAAGTATACCTTCGCATTTATTAAGTCAATTTATTATTCGATTACTCATATTTATCATAAATGATTAATTGAGTTTGCAAGAAGTTTTATCTTGATCATCGGCTTCCAGTCACTTTGGTTCAATAGTCCTTTATTAACAACATAATTCAAGCAAGAGATTGCTCGTGCGTGTCCAACCCGTTATACTTGTAATCGCTCGTAATTCGTTATAAAAGTTTATCGCTTCGGATTGACACAGTTTTGATAACAGGTTTTTCCCTGGTTTTTCGCGTGCTTAATTTTCATTTTATCAAGAATATCAAAGACACTTACGGGACACAATGATCATTTTATAGTTAAAAGTATTTTCGATACACCTGATGAGATAAAAAACAAGTTTTTTTCACGGATACCGGTTTCGCATTTTTTTATCTCGATTTCTTTCACGTTTCGCATGAGGCAATGAAAAAATCAAGTTATATTATGATATATTAATTGTATTTCAACAACTTGTTATTAAAATTATCTACGTAATAGTTATTTAATTTTTTATTTTTTGCATTAAGTGGAATATAACGAACTATATAACAGACAAATGTAAAAATAGAAGAGAAATGAAGACTAAAAAAGAAATGGCAATTTTTGGATAAATTAATTTCATCGATTAAAAGTAAAATTGGGAAAGATTATTAAATCTAACCTCTTTCTGGGAAAACTTAATAAAATAATAAGATTATAGGAAGCAAAGAAAGAAAATTAGGAAGCAAAATTATCTCTATTATGAATGCAATTTGATATTTACAACTAAGGAATTAATATTATGCTTGATTATGAATTTTTACAATTGCTTATTATTTTATTCATACGATAAATTTGCTTTACCGATAGAGTCGCAGATAGTTATCGCAAATATGGCGGAACACGTTGTATAAAGGCTTGCTCGATTTGAGTTATTCAGAATGTATTCTAGTTAGAAGCTATTATTCCAAAGTAGTTATTGTAATAGAGTTTAAATAGACTCAAGGGAGGAATTAATAAGGACGGTTTGCAAGACTGGCTCATCGTATTCCAAGATATATTAACCTTGACCACCAAACTTACCATAATTACCGATTAATGGCCGCCGATACGCGAGATATCAATGTTACGAATAAAAAATTTGTACGAATCCAAAATATTTAAAACTTTTCAATATTGAAATAACTTAAGAGATTTATATAATATATAATATTAAAAAAAAAAAAGGAAAAATTATTACAAAATATTCAATTTTGAGGATTACTCTGTTTGGTGATTTATTACGATATCTTCCTTATCAACCGAGGCAACCAAATACAAATTTACGGAATGTTCGTTAAGAGAAATTCTCTTGAACCTTCGAAACAGGATGAAATAAAGTTGTCAATTAAGCTTCGCCTATAAAATTCCCACGAAACCAAAACTATCGCGAGTTCTGTAAGTTACATCGACCGACGGAACGCGAGCAGCAACTTCAAACTTTGAATTAGTTCGAGGCAGACATCAGTTTGCTAAATGGAGCGGATAGGGCGAGGACATAAAAACTTGTGACGATAATTATTCCAAGGGAAGGACACTAATTGGGTGCATTAACTAAATTAAGGTTTAAAATAGTACTATTTAAACGGAATTGTAGTAAACCTGAATCACTAAGTATAAGTTCCATTATCTGATTAATTGTCGTTACTATATAATTAAATTTGGCAAATGTATTTGGTTATGGAAGCAGTGTTTCATTTTACGTTTTTTTCTCGTTCGATGTGCGTTGACAAATATTTTTTTTATCGCGAGGTGCAGGCAGTTTTCAATTTTTCGAGGTAACGAAATCATCGAGTTTCTTCCAATTTTTGAATTCCAATCTATTTATCAAACGATATCGAATATCGTTTTGAATCTGATAATCGAATAAAATCAAATCGATTAATTTCAAACAACAAACGATATTTTTCATCCTTTTTCTTCACGAATAATTTAAATATCGATTCGATAATTTATGAAATAGAAAAAAAAAATATATACTTAATAATATCTATCGTTCCATTCACGAAAAATAGAAGCACATTTGAAATTGAATGAACTTTTACATTAAATGTACAAGTAAATACCAATTTCAAAGCTAAAGGATTCTAGTGTCTAATACGAATAGGGGGTAGAG